TGAGAAGATTTTATATGGAGAAACTGGTTTACTCTTAAGCGGTATGTTGGAAAGGTTCCAAACGTGAAGCAACCGTTGATTCAATAGTAGAAACCTAATACATGGATACTTCAGAAGTAGCAAAGAGTTGCAATATGGATCATGATGTTCATAAATGAACTTGGAGTAGTTCCTGATATTGTTGATCACATACAATAGTATTGTGATAATAATAGAGCCATTGCGAAAGCAAAGGAACTAAGGTATCATCAATGATCCAAACATGTATTAAGGCGGCATAATCTCATCAAAGAGATAATACATAGAAATGACGTAAAGAGAAGAGCAAATTTCCACATTTAATAATATTGCAGATCCACTGACAAATAGTTGTCGTAGTATAAACATGATCGTCATGTAGACTTATGATATTTAATACATAAGTGATTGGATCTAGTGTAAGTGGGAGTTTGTAAGTATTATGCCCTAGGTCCAATCAACTTTGGACATAAATACTTTTATATATAATTAATGCAATTAAATGGCAGATCTATTATTTAATTAATAGACAATTAAATAAATAATAGAGTCTGTAGATTCAAATATTTATAATTTGTTAATCACAAGGAGTTGTGATTGTGAGATACAAATTACATCTGATTGAATCTTAAATCATCCGTGGTCGTAAGTAATAACGAGATACGGATATCGTTGTTACAGATAGACCATCACGTGTGGCATTTCTTACCTGTGAAGTAAGTAGCTGATCTCACAAGTTAAAGTGTGGTGACACTTAAATGAACAAGTGGATGTTTTGTTATAGAACAAAACATTGGAGACCCGTCGAGAGATTCCACATGGATAACTATCTGAGTGTCAGTGGTTAATCTCTAACGTTCGGTAGTGGAATTGGTCCTTTGACTTGAGGTCGTCATGGTACCTTATATGAGGACAGTCATACTTTGGCGGTGTTGGATGTTGCTCTGAAAAGAGCCGCTAATACGACATCGTTCGGGTACGTCAAAAATCGTATGAAGGTTGTGATTGATCAATAAAGGATTCGTCACTTTTAGATAGTAGGAGATTATGATCTGCATTTCATTCAATTAAGTCAATGATGAAATCATTGGCTAAGGTGTACTCATAAGTCGAAAAGAAGTTTTCGATTTATATTGACTTAATAGTGGAGTGAAAGATATGATCGATGATCGAGATTGACACAACTCCATATCTCGTAATTGATCGGATCATATTGAAGAAGGGATTATAGTTTCACGGTAAACGAACAAATTTGATTTTGTCATACCACGTGACATTTCCCGTCACATGTATTGCCCTGACACATTGCTAGATGTCAATCAGGGACGGCGAATGTGAATTGACGATAAATTAAAAGGGTGTTTTAATTTATCGATTTTGATTAAATCAAAATAATATTTCACGTCGTTAGGCATCGTGGTCGGGAACCTAATGGGTCACACACAAAAGAGAATTAGAAGATTGCAAATTGCCAATTGGTTGATTTAACAATCGTTGGATAAATTAATTAATTGAATTTGTTATTTATATTTCCGAATTAATTAATTTTCACGGACCGGGTTTAATTAATTGGATTAATTAATTATTGGACCGGACCGGACCGAGCCGAGCCTGTTTGGGTTTATATAAATACATAACTAGGGTTTGAGGTCCATAATGGTTTTCATTATTCTTGTTAGCACAAGAAAAAACCCTAAAGGCTGCAATCATATTCTCTGTGTGGATCACCGTTGGAGGCTGGACAATTGGACAGCTGTGGTGGCGAATCAAAGTTGTGGAACGAAAAGAAAAGCAAAAGGATTGCAGATCTGGAAAAGGTACAATCTTATCACAATTTCTATCTAAACACAAAGGTGATTCTTGGTGGGAATCGAAAATTATTTTAAATTCCGCTGTGCATGTATAAGTAGATTCCCAACACAACCAACGTGATCATATCAAGAGATAAACAACAAAGCATTCATAAATGTTAACATTATGAATAAAAAAGGGCTTAATAGGAAAAATATCTACTCACTACCACTCGCAGGACCAACAAGCACTCCCTGTGCGTTCCCTTCCTTCTTACCACTCTCATCTTTCATTTCACCATCAGTTTTTTTAATTCTAATTTTGTATTTGGACTCAAATTCAGTGACTTCCTTTTTCTTTTTCTCCAAAGCCTCATTAAGTCGAGTTATTACCTCTTCAATACCCTCGTTGTTGCGCTGGACAGCCGGCAAGACTTCTTTAATGGTTCTCTCCACCAGGACACCTCCAATCATCCGGTAGCACCGCCTTGATGAATCTAGAGGTTTAATGGCATTGATCACGAGTGAATGCTCACTAACCTCCATCTCGAGTTCAGTAATTTTGGAGTAAATTTGGTTGATCTCAGCCCTCATGGCACCATAGATGTTGGCGACTGCTTGCTCATTCATTGGTTCCTTACCATCACCTTCAGCTTTTGCCATGGTACTAATTTGAGCAGGAAAACAAACAATAATTAATCCATGATTCATGTTATATCTCAAAACACTTGACAGTCCTCGATGCAAACCACACGATATTGAATAATTGAAATGCAGAAGCAATCTGTTAACATAAATCCTTTTCTGAAAATGTGAGCTAAAAATACTCGAAGCAAACCACCCAATATTCATCCTCTTCCGATAAAAAGTGAAGCTAAAGCTGCCTTACAATAGCAACAAGCTTCAAGCTCAAGATGCATAACATTACAACCACCACAAAAACTAAGCCTTCTTCCAATTAAGATTTAGGGTCTGCCCCCACTGTATTTTGGTCCTGGATATTTCACCTATTACACTTGAAGTGGAGCAAGTTTTTAAGGCAATGGAAAACCATAAACAACCACATCAAAAATTCAAGAAAAATATTGTAGGAAAAAAAAATCTCTGTAGCTAGAGAAAGATTACCATCAAGAAACAACAATTCTGAAAAATAAAATAAATTATAAGGAGTTGAGTTCAAATTAAATCATTCACAACAAAAAAATCTTGTCGATTTCAACACATACAGCCCGTTTTAATACAAATACAACCCGATACTACCTTCCAAGTTTGGTGATGAAGAAGCTGAGTAGAAATCACTGCCGCATAAGATAAATTGGTGCCGAGGGAGTGGTGAATATGTTCCCAATTACCGAGAGAGAAACCTAGGCCGCTCTTCCTCTTCGTGCAAACAGAAACGGGTTATCCTATGACAAGCCTGCCCTTCAATTGGGCTTTACAAATATTTTTCTAGATTTATCATTTAAAAAAATCAGGCATACGCGGCACCACACTCCATCCTACCTATTCTTTTACATATTTCTCAAACGGTAATACTACCAGTACATCGGGAGGTACCGAAACGTGTACCCCACAGACACTTCCTCCAACCGGGGGTCGTCGCATGTCCATTAGGTACACGCTTCGGTACCCCCGGATGTACTACAAGTTTAATTCTCTCTCAAATCGCAATTCAGACCCAAAACCACGACAACTGGCGCCTACCATCACTTAATGTCGATTATGTGATTTTCGAAGCAAACATTATAAATTAGGCTCCAAAAATTTAGTATGCATGTAAAATCTATAAGTATATTATGGAGTTAATATTTCATTTATTATTTTAAAATTTAACAATGAAACAACAAATAAATATATTATAACAAAAATTATATTATAATCAAATAACAAAGCCGACAATGTTTTAAAGGATCAGTTAAATACTATTCGTCTTACGATTTTAGAGGCAAAAATATTATTGAAATTTAAATAATTTACATGTTCAATCATTTTTTCTCAATTGATAACATGGTTAATCAATTTAATTTTTCTTGTCATATAGTCGATCAGAGATATGATGAACAAAATTTTGTAAATAATATAAACATTTTGGATGTTTTTAAATATTGTAGCATTTCAATTGCTCTAGTTGCTTTACTTAGTATATAGTATTTCAAAACATGTAACTCAAAATTTTAGAGGCAAATAAGATATGATTAACAAAATTTTGTAAGTAATATAAACATTTGGGATGTCTTCAAATATTGTAGTATTTCAATTGTTCTAGTTGCTTTACTTAGCATATAGTATTTCAAAACATGTAACTCAAAATTTTAGAGGCATATAAGATATGATTAACGAAATTCTGTAAGTAATATAGACATTTGGGATGTCTTCAAATATTGTACCATTTCGATTGCTCTAGTTGCTTTGCTTAGTATATAGTACTTCAAAACATGTAACTCAAAACATAAATCATCTCCGTTAATATCTGAACGTCTATTATATTCCAGATACTTTTTAAAATTCATACAAAGCTTGTTTTTTTAATAAGAAATTCATGGATGGACGTAATTTCCTCTTGTTTTAATAAGAAATTCAACAAGAACCAAATTGGGCCCAGACCAATTGGAGAAGGAATGGGAATGAATTTTCAATGGACTTGGATTCGCGTGGGATTACTAGGATAGCTGAAGGCAGTGACGAAAGAAGGAATGAAATTCAAAATGGACTCGTACTCTAATTGGACAAGGAAGCCGGCGGCTGCTTTTGAAATAAAAAGCAGAGGACGAAAAACGATGGACGGATACCAGCATAGAAAAATAATTCCAGATTTTTTGTGCAATAATCAATTAATAAACGCTCAAGAATTTTGGGAATTAATCATGTTTCATCAATTTATCAAAAGACTCACAATACGCAAGAAAGGAAACGAAGAAATATTGTTGGGATTCGTGTGGCGAAGATCAATAGTATCTCGGAGATATTTGTTTTATTTTGATATTATGATTGACTAAATATTTTTGTTAGGTTGACGAAGCAGCTTAGGGGTTTTCACATTTATTTTGTTCCAAGATTACATGTCACTTTAATAAGTGTTAATTATTTATTGTGTACTTAATGCTTCAATTGCCTGCGCAACAGTTGATTGATTTAGAGATAGTAGTGAGACTGAGAGGTGCTGTATGATTTTAGTTCATTCAATAAATAACATAGGTGTTATAAGAGATTGAGAGATAATTATAGTAAATGCTATCTATATAAAATTCCTGTAAGTTAATGCGTTCTTATTTGTGTGAATTTACATAAAGATATGGTAAATTCGAGCATATGAATAAGATTAGTGTTGCTCGAAACAGATCACTAGCTACATTAGGCTAATTCGATTGTTGGCACCTATGAAAAAAGGTTGAATGAATTGGAAATAGGTGAACGTTAAAGAATTTGAGTGAAATCGACAATCCTAATTACCTAACCTCATAATCTTCTCAATCATGTTAACTTGCTTTCGTTTTTTAATTTAGTAAATCTTTTGTTATAAAACACAATTCGATTTAATAATTGATTACCGTTTAGTTTAAATTGAAATTATGGTAGTTTAAAATTGATAGTAGATAGTAGTCTTTGTCAGAACGATACTTGGATTTAAAAATTCACTTTATTACTTACTCGATCCCTACACTTGCGGAATCATATGAACAACATGGTTGTGACGTAGCTGAAGATTAGTAAATACAACTAACGTTTGAGCTCAAGAATGTTATAGGATCACGAGAAATGTCTTGGTTTGTAAGATGCAAATGGGTTAAGGTTAAAACTAGTAGAAATATATACGCCTGACCTATATATTTGACAAAACTTTATTGAGATTACAAAATACTTTAAAAGCAGAACTATCTCTATCACTTTGGACTGAAGGAATTTCCCATGCCTAGTGATGCGCCAGTTTGGCAAGGATATTAGAGGAAAAATTATTGAAATTATAGAATATATTATAGAATAAAGAAAATAGATCAAAAGGATTTTGTAATTGAATGTCTCATTTTAGAATTTACAAGTAACTTGTAATAGTTGAGTAAAAGTTCATAGAAACATATATACAAAAAGTAACATAGAAAAAATCTAAATCATAAAATATTGTCAATCTTCATCATTCATTTAAAGGAATTGAACTATAAAGGTCAATGAGGATTTTAAAAGTATATTATATTCTTGAGATAAACATATGCCCTACTAAACCAAAGTTTTGGCTCCGTCCGTGCATATAAAATTATAATTAGCGGATAAAGAAAAAGACCCTACAATTTATTTATGTTGAATTTAAACATTTGATATCCACTAGTCGAATCATATTTATTTCTGGATAATTAGCCATTCCTAGTTCAATACTAGAAAGCATTGCAGTGGATCACCTATATCACAAATATACCTTAAGATTACACTAAGAAGCTCAGACTTCCATTTTTATCATGCTACTAAGACATTCAGGAATTCAACAAAGTGCAAAAGTACAAGTTGTTGGTGCACTGATAATGAAACAGTGGCAGAAGGCAAATTAGTGCCTTTCTCCATTCAAGTTTCTCTGAACTCAAAGTCCCAAGCCCCTGGAAAAGGAACACCATTAAAAAAAAAATTCAAAGTTTTTGAAAAAGTTTGATTTCTTCGAAAATATGGAAATGAGTTCATCAGTATTAACCATTAAACTCACGTCACTGTGAAAGCATCTATGAGTTTCTCTAAGGAAACTTCTTTACCTTAATATTAAGATTGTGCCTTTTGAGGTATTGAACAACCCCTGAAATGGTTCCACCAGTTCCTATTCTAGCAACAAGTATATCCACCTTGCCACTTGTGTCTTCTCAGACCTCTGGACCTATTGTTTCATAGTGTATCTGCAAAAAATACATGAATATGAACTATCATCTACACTTCCAATGTCATCCCTTCTAAAAATCAAATTCCTTGTTCTGAGATGAGATATAAATACAGAGCACAAAAAAAGTGAAATCCAGATGATACCCATTAGATAAACTTCCAAGTTCCAACCAAATTTTCATTATGAACATCACCACCAGAAAAGGCAAAAAACATGAGTTTAATTGCCAGACACTTGAAAAGAAAATTGATTCTACTAGAGCATTAGTTATGAGGAAGAAGGCAAAAGAACCTTGGGATTTGTAGGGTTGTCAAACTGTTGAAGCATGTAGGAATTGGGGGTGTTACTCAATATTTCTTCAGCTTTTTGCACAACTCCTTTCATACCCTTGGCTGGAGCAGTTAGAATGAGTTCAGCTCCAAATGCTTTCAAAAGAACCCTTCTCTCAAAGACTCATTGAAGCAGGCATTGTCAAGATGAGTTTGTATCCTTTTGAAGCAACAATAAATGCAAGCACAATACCAGTATTTCCAATCGTAGGTTCAACCAGAACACTCTAGCATAAAAGCAGACATCCGTTACAAAGTACCATGTACCAGATGCAAGTAATATGGTGACATTGCCATCCATGTGGTGATAAATAAGATTAAAACCAGACCATGTCCAGTAATCATACAACGGTACAGAGCTAGAAGTAATTTGTTTGCACAATCATTTCACCTCAACAAGTAAAGGGATATTCAATTGACCTTTTAGTAGCAAAAAGCAAGAATCATAAGCAAGATGATCAAAACAACATATCTAGAAGCCAAGAAACTAGTGCAGAAAAACACCTACAAGAATAAGTTGGGAGTGGAAACCAAACATACAACCTTTACAAAGGTTTTAGGCAACATATCATTTTTATCAAACTGCTAAGTGAGAAATTCAAGCTGGTCAACTTAAAAACATACAAGTTGATGAAAATCTACAATCTCTTTACTCACTTGACCTATAAATATAAAGGTCGGCATGCCAATTTAGGACAGGACAAGTATCTGCCAAGTGTACGGTGACTTGACTACCAGGACTTAACCGATCATAAAATCCCGCCTAAAAACTCCTTACTATCAACAGTTTTGCTATTCTGATAGGCCCAAGTGAAAGGGCCGAGGCTTTATCTGATTTTCACGTTTTTAAATGAAATCAGATCAAGGGCCAAGGTGTCGGCCCTGTCTCTTGGGCCTGTCGCCATAGTAGTAGCTCTCTACCATTCAACTCGTCTCTCTCAGGACATAAAATGATTTTCAACTAAATTAACTGACTTTACATTACATAAAATCATTTTGAAATAAATTTCCCCGCTTAGAAACCATTTCTGCATTCTTTTCCTTCTTACAGTTGAATTCGTCTCTCTCTGTTTCTTCCAAAAATGTGAGTTCTCTCTTATCGTTAAATATCTAAATTTTTTGTGTTCTGTTTTTTCTGCTTTCAACAATTTTTGATGACATTCTTCAACTTTTTAACATTTATATATTAGAATTTTCATATATTTTTTATTTCTTTTCACTGCCCAATGATATATGTGAAATTA